AAGTTGCCACATTTGCCGCTTATCTCTAGATGGTTATAAATACATCAATGAATGCTGCAGATGGTGACAGACCACAGGTGGAAACAACTTGCTGCTCTGCTGGATTTTATGACTTCGTGAAGAATGTATTAAAACATGTATTAGCTCTTTATATGCAAAATATTAATGGAAAATGTAAACAGCCAAGATCTGAACTTGAACGTTTCAGAGTGGGTGCCTCTCTAGGTGTCGTGGGTAGGTAGCACCTGAGAGGTTTTGAAGCGTTTCTCCATTACCCACTGAATTGCTTTGTAAGTGATAATGGTAGCTTCAGCAAAAATAACTGCTAAACAATGTCAGCAGTAGAGCCCTACAGCCCTTTTCTCAATTAAATTAAGTGGAAATTTAGTCTTTGAGTACTACTTCTGAAACTGGCTGAATAGAGTAAGAGCCACCACCTCAGTGAGTCAGAATAGTGAGGGCAGGAGAAAGACTGCTTGCTTGGCTCTGTGACTGCTGTCTGTATGTCTCCATCTGAAAAGTCAGAGGCCACCTCTGCCCTAGAGCTAATGTTGGCATGAGAATAAAAGCAACATATTGCAAGTTGAATGAATCTACTCTAACAGAGGCCACCTAAGCTGATGAATTTTGAGGAAGGCCATTAGCATCTCTGTAGCCATCGTTTCTCTTCTGGTTTTGCATCAGCAGCTTGTGCTTCTGCCATTGTTTGTTTGTCTCAGCTGCAACCTCTTGATCTCTGAAGGCTATTTTGGTATTGTTAGTATGTCCTTTCCACCTCATTTATTTCTACCCTTTCTGTTTATCTTGGTACTGTGCTTTTTATGAACACCATCTGCAAACTTCTCACATTTGTTAACGGGTCTTACAAATTAGAACTGTTTGTCTCTATGCATTCCTGTGTGAAGGGGAACTGGAGTAATTTTTTGGAACCAAAGGAAATATCTTTACACTCATTTGATATGAACTACCCAAAATGAAAGAATGAAGCAAACAAGTAGGAAATTTTTGTCATGAATACTCAATGAATTCAGGAGATTTTCTTCAAATGATATCTAAGAGCATTTACTTTGGCCTTTATAAAGGAAGGGGAACTCTGCCTTAATGAACATTATTTATGATAAAGATGGGATAGGAAGGACAAGTTTTTATGTAAGAAAACAGCCTGCAAACTGATAAAGCCTATTAACCTCTTTCTGCAGTGCTGAGAAACAATAACCCAAGTAAGTAGAAAGCTTTTTAGCAAACCTTACTTAACACAGCTCTTGAACTGCAGTCTCAAAGATCTTGGGCACAGATTTCTGTATCCAAATTGTTCACAGTGCTTAGAAAAAAAGTGTCTAAAACTTTGGAAAGCAGGCAAACGCAGCACATGGCTGTGACCTAAGAAATCTGGGTGCATTCACCTTTGCCTACCACCCAAAGCTTGTTCACAGAATTGAATTTGTGACTTTCTCCCCATAAAGTGACCAAGCTCTTCATGTTCCTTGGTCTCCATGGTCCTCAAGCCCCTTTCTCCCTTTCATAACTTCTTGTGCCAGTTCCCCATTGCTTTTGGTGTATTTTGAGCAGCACTTGACCCCAGTACTCTGACAGGCACTTTATCAGTGTAACAAAGCATCTCTGGTCTCATGGGAAACAGAAGTAGTCGTCTGCCAGGAAGCAGCCAGGACTTACTACAGGTTGTCATGCAAAGCCAGAGGCTGAGAAGAGAGAACCTGTCAGCTTTACCTTGATAAGCCTGTGAGTGTGAAAGACATGTCACATGCAATTTCCATTACAGAGATCACCAGGATGCCACGAGAAGCAAGAAGGAGTGGAAGTCAGGCATGCAAAAATTATTCAGACCAGAAACCTTGGGCTGTTCCAGGTATGCCTGTTTAACACAGGAATCAAAGGGATTCTCAGAATTGTCTTATCAAATCAAGAGAAGAACATCATTACGAGTACATCAAGATAGCAAGGTAACATTTGCAGATTAATCTTCCTAGTTAGTGGAGTCAGCTTTCAGAGACAGAGAACCTCAGATTACAATGAGAGATCAGGAACAAGGATCCTGTTCTTTAGCAGCAACTCAAATTCTGTAAGCTGCATGAGCCACTCACAGGAAAGGACCTGGCAGGCACTGTGCCATCCTGTGGGTCCAGGGGCTGGCTGTAGCTCTGCAATGAAGAGGACTGGCCATCAGCTGGACACCTATCACTCCTCTTCCTCTTTCTGAAGCACAGCAATGCATAATTATCTACAGAAAACACGTGCACTGCAGCACCGTTGCCAAGCAGGAGCACATGTCACATCCTTGAATTTAGGGTTTATCGGATGAGAAGCCAACTTTCTGAATTTGGATATTTGGTGTCAGCTGGGACAGTTGCAAGGAGCCATGCAACTCAGGCATTGTTTGTGCTTGGTTTCCAGGCACCAACTTTGGTTTAAAGCTGATTATATTTAAGGAAGGAAACGAGCTTTTGTTGTTTGCATTCACCCTCTCCCAAAAAAAGCTTCTGCACCTCAAAGCTGGTAAAAGCACAGCATATTTGTACAAGTTATAAACACTGTTTCACTTAGGAAAAATAATGCCCTTTTGAAAACTGCAATTAGTTGAACAAGTGATGCAATATGCATATAAAATCTCTCAGACCAATGCTACCTCTGGATAGAGTGTGTGTTCATCAATACAGTGCTTAAATAGCATCACTCCAGAAGTTCAGCAGCCTAGTTTTAAGAACTCAAGTCAGATAATAGTTACTTTTGCAAGTCAAGTAGAAACAAAGTCTGCTTGTGTCAATCAGTATGAAAATGTCATTTAATTCCATGCAACAGTAAGAAATTTTCCTCCTAAGATCTAAGAAATCAGAATCCTGGACAGAGCACAGTTCATGTTTTTGTTATGTATAGTTTCTTTCTGTTCTGCTTTACTGCTTAGAAAATGAAGGCTTGCAAACATTCACAATGGTAATAAAATCTTACTCCAGTCCAGACTTTTTAGCAACCAGGAGGTGGAATCAATGCTCCATCAGATCCATCAGGCCATATTATTAATGTAACTAAAGCAAGCTCCACAAAAGGAAGAACACAAAAGCCAGAGGTACTTAAACTTTTCAAAAAAACCCCAACAAAACCCACACTAAAAAAAACCCTGAAACCAAAACAAACACATTCAGTGACCAACACCAGAACAAGCCTCAGTACCTGTGTCACAGGCAGACCTCCTGCCCCAAGGGGTGCTCAGTCAGTCTGACCAGTCACTAACACACAGGACACTTACCTTGGAAGTGGGACATCAGCAGCAGGATGCTGGAAGAACAGCACTGCCCAGCTGGAGAGGACAAGCCAGGATGCACAGGTTTACCATGCCACAGCAACTTCACCAGCACAGGGCACAGTACCAAGCAGCATAAGCAGAGCAGAGCTGGTGGCAATAACAAGTCCCAGAATCAGCCCAGCAACCATCAGACATGCAAAGACAAAGCAAGTCCCAAGGCAAGCTAAGGAATCTGGCAGGGGGGTGAAGACTGGAGGCCCCAGGAGAGGTTGATTAGAGTAATTAGAGTCTATTAACACCTTCACACACTGCCAACTGGCTCTCCTCAGGCTGATTTGAGTGAAGGATTTTACCATTTGTCCATGAGCCACTTTGTAGACACTTTGTTTTCTGAAATTCAGGCCCACATTTCCTCACCTATAAGTGGTTTTACTTGTAATGAATTATTTTCATCAGGCTTCTGTCTCTCTTGCCTTCTGACCTGTTTCTTGTGCTTACCTTTGCTGCAGCCACCAGCAGCCTGTGCACACTTCTCCCCAGCCACAGCAAGGTCTGCCTGATGACAACCATGAAATCCTATGGTTGAGGGGGCTGCAGCCCTGATGACCATGAATCCTGGTGGAAAGACCTCTTGCCAGGGGATGGGGCAGATGCGAGGTGCAAAGCATCCCATGTCCCTGTCAAGATCCATCAGCATCTGCTTGGCTAAACAAAGCTCAGCTCTTGGGCCCCACTGAGCCCCCACACTGCTGAAAAAACATAAACCTCTCACCATTTCTTGTGCTGAAAATAGACCTGAACATATTTTGATTTCTGCCTGAGCCAAGGGCATTTTAACTCTGCCTTCCTTGCAGTGATTCTGCAAAGGACACCTCCGTGGTGTGGAGAAAGTCTTTTTGGGTTTTCCATCATCTCCCTCCACATTAAAGGTTACTGTATCTGGGGCAGGCAGGGATATTTTGGAGATGCCTCCTTGCCAGCCGCTTCCCTCATAACACTTTTATTTTTAAATGTGTGTGTTGACAGACACCCAGCTGCATGTGCTGGGGGATTAGCACATACCCCCAGAGCTGGCACAGCCCTCCACATGCTGTCCGTGTCTGGCAGGGCTGCAGTTGGGTCCCTGCCGCTGCAGGAAGAGAAGTGTGGTTTGTCTCTGTAGATAAAACAAGGTGGCAAGCTGCTGGGCCACTGGGCAGGCAGGTGTTTATGCAAGTGCTGAGATACGGTGAGTCCTTCCACCCTTCTCCACAGGTCCCAAATTGCCTGCGTGCACTTACTGGCTACTCTGGTCACTCAGCCGCTGCCCACCAGTCCCACCCCATCTGCCAGCACTATTTATACCCCAGCTCTAGGGTTTCAGAGGGGTTGGAAACCGAGTACCACAGTGCCACGGCAATAGGGATGCTTACAGAGGCCCAGAAAGGAGGGTTAGAGTTAGGGAAGCAGCTGGAGGCAGCGAGTGCCCAGGGAATGCTTCCAAAGCAGCCCCCAAGCTCCCAGACCTTGATGGGGAGACGCCTGTGAGCCAAGACCGGGCAGAGCAAGGGCTGGGCACTGGGGCCGCCCAGACAGCAGGAAGAAAAGGGGGGTTTTGTCAGTGCCACACAGAGCGTGGTTTAATCCCCACTGACCACAGCAGACAAAGAACAAAAGTCAGCGGATGCCAAGGAGTAGGTTTTAACTGCCCGGGGAGCCTTCCCATTTTGGCTGAGTAACACTTGAAAAATGCAAGAGGCAGTTATAGGGGCTGTTTATCTTTTTATTATAAATTTAGTATGAATGACCAATGGAAAAGTCACAATGGAGTACCAAGAACATTTTATCAAAATTTTAGCAGCATTTAAACAGTAATAGATTCCCAGCCTCCTCCAGGCACCCCTTGCCCTTTGCCTCCCACCCACAAAACAGTAACCTTTACTCAAATGTGCTTTCCAAAGGCACGCAGGGGACACAGCTAGACATTTTCCCCGAGCTGCCGTGAAAAAAAATCTCATCCCAAATGCTGGTTACCATACAACCTCCATCCACGCCGGGCCAGGCTCCCAATCCCCTCCTTGCTGTCGACAGCACAGCAAGAGGCTGGCTGGCTGTGGCATCGGATGGGACTTGCCACGGGGGAGGCAGCATCTGCTCACATCCTCGCCGTGTTTCTCACACTGTGCCCTGCATGGATCAGCACTCCCATGGGCGCCCACTACCTTCAACCACAAAACCAGGGCTAGGCCCGTTTCCTACCCGCTGCTGCCCTTTCCTTCTGTGCACGGGGGTGCCGTGCACGCCACGGTCCCGCTCCTGTACCTGAGAGTGTGTGCTCGTGGCTGGATGGACAGAGAAAGGGGAGACTGACGGTCTGCTCTCCCGCAGGAATTGATAGCAGGGCAACTGGGAGCTGAGATTTGAAGGGGAAAGGTAGAAGGTGAGCAGTGAGATACTGAAGTATCAGCCCACAAAATGAAGTCAGTCTACTATCAGCTAATGTGGAGAACCATGGTCTGCCTACTAAGTCACAAAAGCTAACTTTTTTGTGTGCGCTTCTTTTCTTTTTTTTTAAAGTTACATTAAGACATGAACAGTACTATCCCAGCCTCACTGGCTGGAGCTTGGTGAAAATGCTGAATTAGAGGTTGGGAAACACAACACACGCTCACACGTGTAGACAACAACATAATATTGGCAAGCTATTCCCCTGCTTCTTTGGTACTTCCTAAACTTTCTTATCCAAAATATATAAGGGAAATGCACCATTTAAAAGTTACTGTTGTAAGTATTTACACAGCCATAACCATCACGCTATGATACACAAAGATCAATATGATATGAACAAAGTTATTTTATGAAAAGCACTTCTGCACATTTTATTTTGTTCCAGTATCTTAATAGCTTTAAAAAATGCATGTGTTATGCAGTCCTGTACCTCGCTTCTTATATCAAATGGACAAGAAACATTTCCTAATCCATACTCTTCTTCAAAAGATTAAAAAATAGCCACCAAAATGATACACTATGTACAAATTTTACTAAATATTAAATTCTAGGTAATTATTTTCACCCCACTGATAATATAACTTAGGTATTGTTACCTACTATATGCATATATATTTCTGTAATATATAAGAAATGGCACCACATCACCATGTCACCAATATGACACATTGTTATGTACAGTAGATAAGAAGTTAGATATGGAAGATGGATCCTCTCCGACTGCTTCTTTCACGGGAACACTTCTCCCCTCGGTAGTAGCTTGGCCATTTCCCCTTTTCCCAGCAGAGGAAGCTCTTCAGATGTAAGGCAAGATCCCGTACCTCAGCAGCGCCATCACCCCAGCACTGAACAAGCCAGCCACTGGCACAGTCACAAACCACGCCAGGAAGATGTTGCGGAAAAGGCGCCAGTCGACAGCTTTCTTGGAGCGGATCCAGCCAACGGCCACCACGGAGCCAACCTTGGGAGTGTGGGGAGGAGAGAGGGAGACAAGGTGTGAGGGGTAGGTCTGAGCGCCTGTAACATGCCCAGGGCCACACCAATGCCAGTCAGCTGATACCAAGCGATGCTCTGAGATAAAGGAGCCCCTGGGGATGACAATGGCTCTGTCTGGGTGTGGTGGCAGGAGGGTGACACTTCCAGGGTGCTTTAACCTTTATTTTTCAACTATCTGTTTTTCCTGAGTCTTGGGGACGGCCAAAGGCAGATAAATACGTTTGTAGGTTTCTCTCTGCCCTGCTAACTCCTGCATCAGCCATCAGTGGAACTGAGGCAGCCCTCTACCTGCTCAGTCCTCAGGGCAGAGGGCAAGTGTCCATCAACTCTGGCCAGACTGCAGCTTAAATTATGAAAATACCAGGAAAGTTGTTTTGGGGGCTCTGCTAGAGAGCGTCGCATGGGGCAGGTCAGGAGAACGAGTATGGCTCCTGTCCCGCCTGCTTGCCCTCTTGCTGATTTGGGATGTCCTTGCCTGTTCACCCAGCAGCTGCAGAACCTCTGCAGCTTACAGCCCAGCATACAGAGCCCACTCAAAACAGCACATCTGTATTTCAGTACCGTGGGCTATAAGCAGGACAGCAACAGCAAGGTAAGCAGCTGAGCCCACTCTGTGACAGCAATGGTGACTTGGCAGGGGGCAGACAGACAGTGCAAGATTAGATGCAGTACATCAAACTCATCAGTCCAAGCCCTCTGAGGAAAACCAGCCCTTTTGGACCAGCTAGCCAAGCAAAGCCTCTAGAGCTAAAATCCTCCCTGAAGACAAAAACATCAGCCTGATGCTTTTAGGCACACAAACTGCACGGACACCAAGGGGATGGTGGGGAAGTCGAATGAACCACCAAAATACCCTTCAAAGGCATAGCTACCAGAACAGTGGGGTGGGTCAGTGGTTTTGTAGACAAAACACACTGTAGCATGGGCAAAGCTGCAACCTTTTCTTCCTTTGACTGTGTTTTCAGTTCGTAAGCTCAGGTATAAACCCAGCATATTAGTTCTTAAGAAAAAAACTGGGCTGAAAAAAATTTTTTAGTGAAAAATTATACAGAAACTTCAGAAACTCTCTATTTTCTTTCTGCCCTGGAAGTGGCTTTCCATGCTGTTAGCAAAAACATGTGCAAGTCTATTCAAAGTGCATGGTAAAGCAACAAGAAATGTGGAAGAAATATCCTGTTTTGAAGGTAAGGAAAGCTCCAAGACACAGATGAGCATGTGCTCCCTGAAGTGCCATCTCTGCCTACCCACTTATTTTCTTAATGGGAGTATCAGTCCCTGCCTATAGATCAAGAGATGGGCTGCTCTCCATGCACAGAGCCAGCAAAATGATAAATGCTAGGAGGACAGGGAATTAGGGAAAGACAGGATGGAGATATCAAATCCACATCTTTTGTTAACAAAAGTTAGTTAGCTTCTAACTATTGTTTAATGTTTCTTCTTGGAGAACAGTTATTTGTGGAAGGCCCAGTAACTCTAGGGTGCCTGTGATGGAACAAGGGAAAACTAAATCTGATATTCTGTGACCAATAAGACCTCTGTCTAAAAGCCTGATCCAATAAGGCAATCATTTGGATAATATTTCATCTGAATACTGCTTGGGTGGATAATATGCTATTCTGTGTTTTGGAGGTGCCCAGTGAAGAGGAACCCCATACTTCTGACTATATCAAAGCATTAATTCAAGGAAAGAGCGTTTGGTTTTCCAGCAGCTCAGCTGTGAGGCTCAGCTTTCTATTTTGCGTGTCCTTAGCATCCATCAGTCATGCTTGCAACAAGAAGCATTGCTTATTGAGCAAGCCTGTAGTCTATGTACGCTAGTCTCCGAGTCCTTCCTGAAATTTAAAAGGTATCAGCAATGATGGCATTGGCAATCTCTTTCAAACATTGTTAAAGTTTAGTTTATTAATAGTGATTTTGATGGACTAGAGGTTAGGAGAGTAACTAAAACTTGGGTGTAGGCACACTACACCGCCTGCAGAATTTCAGATGATATCTACTTTGAGATTGGTTTGAAACCAGTGCAGTTTGCCTTCAGTATGCTCCGCTTAAAGCATTACAGAAATGCTTTTGGCTCTTGTTCCTGTGCAATGGTGTATCATAAGAACACACAGAACATGATAATTCAATCACAGCAGCACAGAGAATATTTCTCAAAACCCCAAAATCATAATGGCAAAACGAAGCTCACAGTATGACCTCAGCAAAGTCACTTTTGTAACTCCTGCACTGCAATTTTATCTGTACATGAACACAATCTGTTACAGCTGAGAAATGTCTATTTATTTCTACATATCAAATCTTAGAATAAATAACAGGTCCTATGTGTAACATTCAGTATGATCATTTGCCTACCTGGGCAATAGAAGGGCCAGGTATGCATTCACACCACACCAGCTTTTCAGTGCTAAATCCCAAGGGATGTTGAACTGGTGCAGGCAGAGCAATGTGGCTACCACGTTCAGACTCACAAATTCCTTTGGAGGCTCATAAGATTAGGTCTTCCCTTCAGCCTTCCTTGACTTGGAGGCTTTCAGAGGGATTTTCTTCTCCCCTTTGACTCATGGCAAACACGAAGGTGCAGTTTGGGCTCTCAGCAGGCACTGAGCATGAAAAAGGTGCTTGGCTGTAGATTTAGGACAGGCACATTGAGCAGTGACTACCTCATGTAGATCAAAGCCTCTGATTTAGGACCAAAGGCATCTCCTGTTCTAAGAGGGACTGACGAATCTTTCTCAGAAGCTGATGTTTCTCTTCCTGCTACCAACCTCCAGTTTGCCACCACATCTGCTCCAAGACTTGAAAACTGCTGCTCAGAGCTTTCCTTCATACTCAGTCTCCATTTTTCATTACAGACTATTGTTTCACCTCAAAAAGGTCTCACTCCACCTCAATTGTTTCATGCTGCTCCTTCTTTGCCATCAATTTATCTAGTTACTGCATGTTCAATTGACTGACACCCCTTGGTAGGGCTCCCACTTCGGCAAATTCTATTTTGCAATGGAGCAAAACCAAATATTGGGGAAAGAAATAATTTCCACTCCCTGATGCTTGAGGCTCAATATCAGGCTAACCTCGAACCTCCTTTCTTTTTTGATTTCTAGGGCAAAAAAAATCTGCTGATTTTTAAGACAGCATTTTTGACTCAATGCCTGACAGCACTTTCAGAGAGGCATTTTTACATGAAGCAAATGATATATAACAGTCCTTTTATTCCTTCCCTAGGCCCTCAAAGAAAACAAGGAATTAGTCTGTTACAAGTGTTTGCTTTATCATGTGTTGATCACTTAGGATCTTTCAACTCAGGATCTCATTTTGCTGAAACACTGAGTCAGTTACAATGACGTGACATCCTGGAACAGTCTAATCCTATTGCAAAGTGGATCTTCCCATTAAGAGTGATCCATCTAGTGAGATACAGCAAACTACAGGGAGCAGACACGGACTAACCGCATCAACTGCTTTCATGAAAGTGTTTTTAAAAAAGAACTATTTTGCTCTGCAGTTAGAAAAGCCCAAGCTTTTAACTGCATTGAGTGAATGAATACCTCCTCATGCCACCCCCTCATTAGCTTATGGCTTCCAAGACCTTTTCTTTTTAAATTCAGTTTATTTGTCTGCACCAAAGTGCTTCTTCTCTTTTACAACAGTTGGCTAGAAGTGCTTCAGGCATACAACTGGGATAATCAAAGCTGTATTATTCTCCCTGGCAAATTCTTCATCATGCATTTCATATACCAGTCAGCTTAAAGGGAGGTGGTTTCAGGCTAGCACTTTTAGAAGTGGATCACGTTGTTATTATTTTTCCCCTCCCTGCTTGATTCAGAGGAACCAGAGTTCGGTCAATGCCAGGAAATCTGAACAGCCTTTCAGAGCAGCTCAGTCTTGGCTGCTTCTCAAAGAAGCACCAGGGCAGAAGAAAGAAATGATTTTGCAATAGAGGAAGGCTTTCTGAAGAAATGGTTTTCACTAGAAAAAGGCCAATTGAACCAACTTGGGGCATTTTGCAGGATGTGTGGATTTCATTGACTCTTTCACTGGAAACCAGGTCAATGTCACAGGCAAGGATGCCAGGCTTTCTGCCAGCCCGCCTGCCACGCCGTGGAGCAGTTAGCCCCGGAAACCTGCCTGCCCCAGACTCAGCCAGGGCTGGAAGGGCTCCAAGGTTTCCAGGGTGCAGCAGTGAATCCTACAGGATCCGTCTTTTTTTAGGGTTTGGTCTTGGTGGCATACCACGTGGACTTTGCCACTCTGGGGTCTCTGATTTTGGAGGGGCTTCCCCACATCCTGCCAGAGGGTGAGAGAAACAAACAGCTCTGAACGTCCAGAACCTTGGGAGTCCATGACGAAGTAAAGGAACGAAAGATGGGATATTTGATTTGAGAATTTCCCAGGGAATAAAATTTTAAATTCCCATTATGTTCTTCCAGCAGTGTGAATGTGCACGTACGCCCTATGTCTACAAGCAATATAAATGTCTTTTCACACAGCCTATCGTATGACACAATGAAATTCTGCTCATTACCCAGCCGATATCTATACTCTGAAGTGATCTTTTTTAGAAAAAAATAAGAAAGCCAAAAACCTTGTTCAAAGAACTAATTATAAGGGCCAGATTCTGTATTATAATGCACAAAAGTGAGGACAAGTTGGTTTAAAAGAAGAGAGACATTAAAATATTAGCTGAACGATGTAGCAGTGTTTTTCATACAGGTGGCTCTAGAGTACATGTAACTGGGTTCACACAAACTACAAATCTATGTTATCTTAATATGTCTATATTAGTTCAGTACAATCATGTAAGGGTGAAAAACGGTCCAGACTTTTGTGCAATTAGCTATAATGCTGACTTTGCTTTTAGCCGTACCAGCTTTAAAAGTGAACCTCGTTATTTTGCGATCACAGTCTGCACGGTGCACTACATAGTGAAGGCAATCTGCAACAATTGGTATCTCTTGTGTTTTGTTATGGTTTGTCCTAGTGATGTGATTTACTGATAGGATCACTGCAAACCCCAATACCTTGCAATGGGTGGAGCTTATTGGAATACCCACATTTGAGGCTACAAGTACCGTTAGCGCACACATTACTTCAATGCAAAATCCACTGTGAAGAAATAAAAAAAAAAGACAGATGGAAAACCTGTAGTAAAAGAGTTATATGCAGGAAATCCCATGCCATGCACTTATCAAGAAAGTGAAGTATAAATGATGAATGGTGCGCAGCCTCTGAACAAGGGAGAAATGTTACCCGACCAGGTTCAAATGGCACCGTCAGAGGAAACCAGGTTCTTCCTTGTAATCATTTGCTTTAAAATACATGTCATGTTTTTGTAAGTGCTGTTTTTCTTTACCAACAGCTATGGAGTTCACATTGTGTCCAAATCCAGTGACTTTACTGTGACAACTCCAAAGCATTTTTTTGGAAGCCTGATTATTTTCCAATGTCACTGGCATGACCGAGATGCACTGACGCATCTCTGCCTCATCATCCTCTGTCAGCGGCTGTTTTCCCCTTGCCATGCCATTATCCCTGGCTCGAGCAGCACAATTTTAAGATGAACAGTCCAGACTGCCTTGACTGCAGTCGCTGGGCAAAGGCATACCTTGCAGTGTGTAGTACTGACAGGAAGTCCAACATTGGAAGCTACCACAACTGTGAACGCCGAAGCCAACTCAATAGTGAATCCACTGCAGGAAGCATAAGAAAACACTTCACAATCACTCTTTGCATCAGCTCGGACTGATACCATGCAGCGTGCCAAAGTCTTACCCGTTTCTTCTTTTGACTGTCTTATCTCCAAGTGATTTTTGTCACACAAATAAGTTAAGAGAACAAGGAAGGGTTGAATAATGGGAACGGCACAGGCTAGTCATCTGTAGTAACCTGGCTGCACGGCTCATTGCGTCAGGGACTTTTGCTCCTCAACGCTGCAGTGAATCATGCCTAATTAGTAATTCGGTTAAGCACCAGCAGAGGTCGAGTATGCATTAAGGATGAAAATTACTGTAATAAATACATATGGTTTTAATAGTCAGAAGGGCACTGGGAAAGCCACTGTAATCTTGCCATTTCCAAATGCACCTTCTGCCATATTAATTAGGTAATCAGCAGAAGACCGTTCACGCAGACCTCTATGCCTCAAACGCACTCAGTATTAGTTTACAGGGTTATCTTTTTTCCTTTCACTCTTTCTTTTTCTCATTCTTTCTTTCTCTCCTCTTCCTTCTATTTCTTTCAATTTTTTAGAAAGATGGAGAAGTCAAAGCAAGGTTATCATTAAAATCAAAGCACAGCAGATCCAGCAAACTTCATTACAAACAAAATACTGGAGCATCAATTTCTCAGACTGGTTCACACACCAAGTTCATACAGCCGTAATGACACCTGTGGACCTACCTTGATGGTGTGATTGGAGTGAGGTCTTTACCCATGGTCTGGATAACTCTTCTACCCCAGACCCAGAGACCCACGCAGATCCCAACACCTCCATAGAACAGCAGCCAGATGGGAGTCGATGCTTCTTGCATTACGCCACCTTGCTCGTAGATAAGCCAGAGCGCGACGAGGGGACCAATTGCATTGCTGGAGAAACAGAAATACATCACCTGAGTTATAAAAATGCAGATAATTGCCTTGAAAGAAGTCTCTTATTTTAATTCACTGTGCGTGCAGCGCTGCTCTGACTTGACCCTACCCTTTCTCGCTTGGAAAGGCTAAGGCAGGAGACTCTCATCATGCTGCTTTTTCAGTTGTCACTTCATCACTGATAACTAGGGCGAACCCTGAAAGGAATTCCTCTTTTACAAATTGTTTCCTGAAATGTCATTCAGAAGTACCTCATGATGTCTGTTCTGTGACAAAAATCATTATTTTCAGTACTGCACTGAAACTATCTCAAAATTTACCAGTTCAAGAGCTCTCCATCTTTAAAAATCGAGTATCAAATTAGCTCTTTTTGTCAAAATAAGGAAAATGATGACTAAAATTACCACTGCAGACAAGAATATAGAAATCTAATCTAGTTTGACAGCCAGTAAAGTTTGGGATATGATGGAAGTGCACCCAGGAAGGTGACTTAGGCCTCTTCAAACATGTTGTAGAGCTGGACTGGATCAGAGAGGACCCTTTGGTGACACAGATCTGGCATAAGGCCTTTTTGATACCCTGCTGCTGCTATCTAGAAAAACACTGCAAGTCAGCCACACTGAAGTCCCTGCTCCTAATGCAGGTCATCCAAAATTGGTAACTGGAGTCTCCAGTACCTGGAGTCATACTTTTGACATTGTTTATTCTAAAAAAGCATGAGAGTTAGAAGAAAAACTTGAAAGCTGGTATCCAGTTACTTTAGAGGCTTAAGTACTAAAACGCAGATAAGAATTTCAACAACCCCTTTTTGTTCAGCTTTTTTACTAAACTGAGTAGCTGCCTGCCTGGCTGAGCAGCATTTATCCGCTCTAAAAAAAAGCATACTTAGTGAAGTAGCTACATTTATGTCTAAATAATCACAAAAAGAGCAGAGCAAACCTGACTGATGTCATTCAAAACACCTGAAAACCATCAGGAAGCACCGCTCCTTGTAAATCAATAAGGAAAGTGGGTCACAGTGAGTACTGCAGGCAGGACCGATGGCCATGCTCGCCCTGGAGCCAGGACCAGCTAAATTTAGTTCCTGGTTCTGCTCCAAAACACACAGATGGAGTAAGGGCCAGTTTTAATGTCAAATGTTATGCAAACCAAGCCACCGTATCTGCCAGTTAATAATTTACTTGAATCCCATCTTTACCAAATACAAGGCACTAGGGGCTGAGTGGCGATTGCCAAGAGACGAGGGTCCTCAGCATTGCAAAGCTCGGCACATCTAAGCAATACAAGACCTTCCTTCTTTTGTCTGGTCCTTGGGAAATTCAGCTCTGAACCCTTGGAAGTGGTCCTGGAGCAAAGTAACTACGAAGGACTTTTCCCTTGTAAACACACACAACAACAATCAAGCTGCAAGGCAAATGAAAATATTTAAAAATGTTCTTTGATATAAGAAAGAATGAATAATTCTTACAGATTTTGAGAAAGTTACTGAAAATAAATTAGTGGGCTAACATGGATGATAAAATCCAGTGGGTTTGAAGACTCTGGGTAATACAGTGAAGAGCTAAATATACTTTAAATAAAGAGTGATTTCCGCTAGCAAAAATACTTTAAAATTCTGATCTGATACTGTGTCTGAGTAAGCATTTGATTTGTTGACTTTTTGTGAGCATGGAATCACAGTATGTAAAAAGTCCTTAGGGCCTAAATGCAAGAATTATTTTTCCTCCAAGGAAGAAGAGATTCTTGATCAAAACATTTCTAATATTTTTGAGTTGACCTGCAACTTCTTTTCCAGTGTTTTCAGGTGTGGATTAAGTTACTTGCACATTTAAATGCCTTCTTATGCACAGAAAAACAAAGGTAATTCAATGGACCTTCAACTGATGGGTACAGAAGGATGGATAAAGGCAAATAAAACAAATAAAGGGAAAACTGATCATCCCTTTTTACTGTGTTGTATGACATGGAAACAACCTCCCTGTTGAAAATAACAGGCACATTTGGAGCAAGCCCAGGCACTGATTCCTGACTGCTGTAAAGAGATTATGGATGGATATTTGTCAGTCCCAATGTAAACGGAAAGACAGAAAAGGCTTCAAAAACTGCAGCAGCAAACTATGCTCTTCTGTATCAAAATCCAGTTTTAATTATTTGCAAATGCTACACCTCTGTGAATCTAACTAAGCTTAATCTTTGAAGAAAAGGTTATTTTCTTGTTTGTGGCAATGAAGGACAAGGCAAAACTCTGCTGGCTTATGCTCAGCCTCAGAGGATCTGAGTGGGTGATTCTGCCCAATAGATCAGAAGAGGTTACACTGATGCCCACAGAAGCAGCATTTCTGATACCTTCCCTGGAAGAAATGAAAGCAGAAGAGCACTGGATCCATATATGTTTGGAAAGGCAAAAAGGTAAATAACCTCATTTCCATTTGTGGGTATCTGCATCACTGGTTATCTTTAACAGAAGGACATCTCTCCCTACAAATCATGTTCAATCTGACTTAAATGTTCACCTCCTAGGGACAGTGACATCTCCCAGCCTGAGCATCTGAAAGGGGCTACCAACAGCCACCAAAACCGCTCCAATCTAGCACCATCAGAGCTCTCCAAGGGGCTCCTTCAGCTTCTAGATTTGTTCAGTAGGTCCAGTCCCAGGGGCCTGTGGTATCAATGCTTCCTATGCCAGTGAAGAACAGCTCTAGAAGAAGCCGTCAGGCCTGTTCCACCACAAAACTGCCAAAAGCTCACAATGAATGGGTCTGAGTAAGGCTCTGCAAAGACCACGATCTTGGTTCTGCACAGAAATAAAAGGCAAGCAGTCCCAACAGGACAGTAAGAGTGAGTAAGAGAGAAACAACACACATTAAAAAAACAAGAAAAGGCACTGTTAGATAAGAGAGTTTGCTTTGAGACCTTCTGCGGTTAACAGATGTCTCCTACAGCTTAGTGACTAACCAGATGAACCACAAAGATGCTGGCTAGACTGGGATGTGGCTTTCACAGTACTTCCCACCAGTTCTACCTCATTTGATTTAAGACATAACTAGCAAAAAAGCAGACCTCAAATCTTCCATGCATTCGGCTAAGACTCAATTCACAAGTCTATTTTCAAGTGACTTTCTCTTATTCTCCCACATAGGTTTTTACTTGCCTTAACTAACTCTCCTTTGTGCTGGAGCTCCAAGTCTTATTCATGGTAGTTTAGAGGAGACAAAAAGAAAGCCTGAGATGATCACCCAGGGGCTCTGAACCCTTATCTACATCTGTGTATAAGTTCCTATGAAACTGAAGTGCTTTAGAGTATGTTGCTGTATTATTTAGCTGTTGGGTTTAAAAAGCAACACGAGCTGCTCCTGCCATGGTATTACTTTAATTTTGTATGCCTATACACACTTTTCCACCGAGCACAAGAGGATGGCCATTGCAAGCTAATTTTAGGATGAATTTATGAAACGTTAAGGCGTAAGAAGCCTACCTCCTGAGTCTACCAGTTGTAAAGTGGGCTTTCCACATCCAGTACTTTTCACCATCTCTGCTGGCCTCCACCAGCCGTGGTTACTCGCAGGGCACGGGACTTTGCAGCAGGGGCGGTGCATATAGGGGCTGACTGCCTTCCCCAGAGGTGCAATGCAGGATTAAATGCCATCTATAGTAATACTTGTACTTGCAGACGCGTGTCACAGTGGTTCAGCAAAGTGCTGCTTGGTGTTTCTGAAGTGCTGCCTGACCCTCATGATGATTTCTCTCTCTCGACTAACATGAATTGGCACAACTTCTCTTTTTCTGCTCTCTTGTGCCAGTTGAGAATCTGTCACGCACCATTTATAAAACTGTTGTGAAAGATAGCATTTGACAGTGAATCTGAACTATAAATAGAGTTGGCTTCTCCTCTCCCCTGTGAGACAGATAGTATTACCAACACAAAAAAAAAACCAAAAAAAACAAAACACCCCACATTCAGCTATCATGAGACAGGCTTAGAAATGACAGTTTCCCATGCGCACACAAACACAAGCAGAAATTTTTAGGTACCTTTGGGTCACAAGTCCAAGCCCTTCTCTGGAGGAACAAGACTAAAACTTTTTTTAAAATTTTATTTTTATCCAAAAATTAGGGCTTTTTTTTCCCAGTAATGGAAGGATGCCATCAGCTGAATGCTCTATTGCCAAATCCCATCAAACTTGTCATAATATTTTATGAAGTAGCAACATCGCTGCTACCTCACTATTATTTGGGGGGAGTAGTGAGCTGCTCAAAAAGAAAATCTAACTGTATTTGAAATCTATGCTCTGAATGTGCTTTGTTAGTCATCTACAGACTCCTTGATGACCATGCTTTGATGCTCTGCTACCTGAAAAAGGAGACTGTGCTTTAGCCACTTTTTCTAGGGGAGTGAAAGAACCTTGAAAAGTACATAATGACGAGCAAAACAGCCGTTTAAGAAATCTGTATTAGGTGTCCAATATTACAAACAAAATTGCAAAATCCCCAGCCTTTTATCAATTTCTCAAGCCAGGATTTCACAAACAAACCTTCCACTGGGAAAATCAGTGGGATGGATATTTCTGAATAGGCTGTAGTTACGCCATGAGACATCACTCAGTTGAGTAAGGGTGCAACAAGAGGAAAAAAATATGTCCTGATCTCCAGACATCTCAGATTATCAAGAGAGTTTAATCCTGGTTCCAATAACCAGACAGTTCTGAAATAGTGCACATACCATAGCACAGTAAAAGTGTGCCACAGATGTGCCCCTGTGAAGTGCACAAAGTGCAGGCTTTGGGCACGTTAATGAGTCAGGGAGGATATGTTTTTATTCCTGCAGCTCATTTCTGTGCAACCCAAATACTGCCCCCGAAACCCCAACTCCCTGGATCCTGGAGGTTTGGGTCCATCCACCCTCACACCCACCAGCATCAGCTTTTTTCCTGGCAAATCCAGTCATGGGCCCTGCTCACAGCAGGACGGAGAGGGATTCCTGTGCCCACTGGAGCCCC